CATAATGATTCGAATTATCGCGCATGCGCGTCCCGAAATAACGCGCCCCTGCGCGTTATTACGCGCTTATACGGTAAATTAATTATTATTCAGAAATAATGCTAATAATTTTCATTATATTTTAGGTTTGACAATTTGAATAATCTTTAAATAGTTCTTTCATACGTTTCAAAATTATACAAGTTGTTAAAATTTGCTAATCTCACGGAATACAGAATTCGGTTGGTTAAGCATCGTAAATACGAAATAAAACGTCCACTTCAGTACTTGCTACTTAAGTACTAGAATGCACTTTCTCATACAAATGTACATGTTTATATTTAATACACTATGTTTAACATGTATTTCATAAAATAATTATATACACTTTACAATATAGTCTAAAAATGCAAGGCATTAAATTTTATTTAGGCAAATATATCTTATACTTGCAAAATTTACAGTAGTTAGTGCCTTATTTCCGTCATAAGTTACTAGAGCGTGGCGAAGGACACTTAATGGACGAGTTAAATTCCATTTCTGATGCATTAAAAGTACTGATTTTAATGTATAACATTAATTAGAAATGCAATAACATAATAGGATTCTGTCTGTAAATTTTACACATGATAATTATATGATAGCTCCGGACAAACAATGTTATGCATTTAATCCAGTCTAGCTTTGTTTTTAATCTTTCATAATACGGTAATAATAGAATAATGATATTTAATGCTCAATGATAACAATTTGATTCGCAGTTATTGTATGTATTACAGTTGACATAACAATTGCACAAGCTGGGATTTTCTAATTTAGGAATACTGTGTGATCTAATTGATCTTTTTGATGCACATATAATATAGCATTATGCTACTATATCATGAACATACTTTTAAGAATAATGCAGGTCACGATATCACCCTAAATTAAGGTAAATCGGATTTTGTCGCATGACTTTGAAATTTTCTTTTTTCACAAAAAAAATTTTATCTTATATTTTCAATTATATAATCATAGTTTACAGGCAAATAACAATAAAATTACATTTAATTAAGGGTAACTTAACAAATAAAAGAAATAGACTGAAGTGAATGTTTCATTACAATGTGTGAAAAAAGTGTGCTATATATAATACTACGCCAGGTAGTGATGTCAAAGATAAGCGTCTTCATTAATGTATTTTTTAAAGAGAGAATTAACTATCACCTCATCATTATCATTTATCACATTAACATTACCTTCAATTATATCAAAATTTTGATTACTCGTGGTTTTTTCACTTAAGGGTAATTGAATGGCATGACTAACAACATCTTTATTTCCTCTGATCATATCGAAATCTCGTATAGACCTAACTCGTTCGTTAGAAGAGGATGGAAATCCATTAAAAAAATCAGAAGCGTAAATTTCGGTGTCAGCTGAAAGAGTTTCGGTGTTAACCGCTAACTCATAAGGTTTAATATTAATTTGTAAATTTTGTCGACGGAATAAATTCACTTCTTTAGTATATTCTTCGATAAATTTCTCAAAGTTGGAATCTTTTCTGTCCCAAGCATCTTTTGATATTTTAGATAATTCTTCGTTGCTATTAGGAAGAAGACCCTTTTCGCGTAAATTGTGTTCTACTAGTTTTTTAAATATCTTATATTTATCTAAGTATGTAAACTTTTGTTTCTTGTTAGCTTTAAACATTAATGATAAATGTTCAGCTTTTGGAACTATTAGACCAAGTATTTTAATCATTTGAAATTTGAAATGTTGAAAAGAATAAAGGCTCTTTACGAAAAATCATGATTCGATTTATAAGATTTATACGTTTTAGAATGTGATATAAGAGAAAGTGAGCACAAACTGGAAATTACTTTACTAGTAATGTGCGACTCTTCTTTATAGCGCAGGCACGTGAATTTATATCCCAAGAAAAAATTTAACTTTTAATTAAATTTTAAAAATTTTTAAATATGTTTATTTCGAAAAAAAATATGCAGTTTTACAAAAGAAATAATAGTTAGCAGCAGTTTGATTCAACCTGAAAAACTACGAGAAATAATATTTCTACATTTTGACATAGATGTTTAGGTAATTTATGTCTATAATAACCGTAGCTGTAAGTCTATAGGATCGAGGAGAATAAAACTAAAATCAGGTAGATTCATGAAACTTAAAAGTGAATTCAAAATCGTGTGCCAAGACATATATTTATAAAATTCATATTTACTCTATCAGGATTTTAAGTCAATTTAAAGGATTTTGATGAAAGGTCAATTTTCGGAGTGTTAAAGTGATAACCCGACTCGTATCAGTTTTGAAACAGCGGCGCTAAAGCTTGATCTGAATTTGGATTATGCAAGTTTATTTAAAAGGAAATCTTAATAAAAAGTATATTTACATTGGCAATATATGGTTTCCAAATTAGGCCATATTTATTAAACAAAGTAAATTCTTCTTTTTAAGGAAGGTAATTCGATGCATCAAAAGCTAGTTACATAAAACCAATAATATGTTTGAGTGTTTATTACTGTAACGATGCAATTACATTTTATAATTTTGTACTAATACCGTATGTAATAATGCCTGACGAAACTATTTTTACAATGACGAAAGGTTACGTCTGACGAAACCTCTGGCGATTGACGAAACCCTGACGATTGACGAAACCCCTGACGATTGACGAAACCCCTGACGATTGACGAAACCCCTGACGATTGACAAAACCCCTGACGATTGACAAAACCCATGAGGATTGACGAAAAAGCTGTGCCAAATTTTTTTATCCTTTGAGCAAAAATATCTTAAAACCACCAAATAAATTTCGATAAACTTTTTTTAATTCTGCGAATCTATTCAAATAAAAAAAGTTCATCGAATTTGGCTTGGTGGTTGTCAATCAAGATATCATCGCACAAAGTCCGAAAAATTTTGATGCAGCCTTAATTTGATAGACGTTTTGAATTTTTTAAAACTTTGAGCAACGATATCTCGACAACCACAAAGTCAATTTAATGAACTTTTTTTTTTATTTAAATTCTACAGGTTCGTAAAATGTAAATAAAAAAAAAGATTATCGAAAATTATTGCTCAAAATTTTAAAAGATTCAAAACATCTATCAAAATAATTAACCAACAAAATTGGGTCGGCAGATCCTAGATTTTGATTGGCTAACGGCGAGGATCTTAAAAATTAAGGCCCAATTGCTTACTAATTTCTGGCCGGAATTAACTTTTTAATTTTCTCATTACAAAAATAGAAATTCTTAAAAAAAATAAGTCTGCATTATGATAAAATTGACCCAAGAACAATTTTCACTTAATGGGCGGTTATTATTTCATTAGTAAAATTATGAGTAATTCCGGCCTAATTTTTTTATCGTCGCTCTTAGCCAATCAAAATCGAGAATCTGCCGGTCCAATTTTGTTGCGTCAAAATTTTTTTAAACTTTGAGCAATGATATCTCGATAACCATCAAATCAATTTTGACAAAGCTTTTTTTATTTAAATTCTACAAATCTGTAGATCAAATTAAAAAAATGTATCGAATTTGACATGGTAGATGTCGAAATATCATCGCTTAATGTCTGAAAAATTTTTGGTTTAAAACTTAAGAGAAATAATATCTTGACAACAACCAAGCCAAATTCGATATAGTTTTTTTTATTTAATTTCTACGAATCTGTAGAATCCAAATAAAAAAAGTTTATTAAAATTGATTTGGTAGTTGTCAAAATTAGAGCTAATACTTCTATCCGGATATATACCAGGAACGGAGTGATGCAATCACGAAGTATGGCATTTTTAATGGTGTACGTCCGCAAAATCTTATGTTTGATTGGTCCGCATGACTTATTCGTCAAATTTTGTT